TTTGTGTGACGCTCGTGTGTGTGTGTGTATGTAAAGACGTGTCTATATGGAGCAAAAACTAAGTATCAATGCCAAACTGAACAGAGGTGTGATTTGACGTAGGTGCAATCGGTGCAACGCGGGCCTCTCATAGTGTGGGGTCCCAAAGTAATGCAAAATCATAGAAAGGGGAGGATTCGGGTGTTCTGGGCCAAGTCCATCCACCTAGATAGAGAGGTGGTGTCTAGGCTGAGCTCGCCTTACATTCAATACTTGTACCGTGAAACTAAAGCTTTTGGTCGTACGGTACGTATATACTGAAGTATTTATCGATTTTGCACAGAATTATAGTGAGAACTACGTAAGAAAATTACACCTACCAATTTGAAATCTTAAAACTCCTCTGACTCTGAACCCATGAAATGAAACCTGTATGTAGGGCTCAAATTGTGTCCGAATACCACCAGCCTTCTCCGAAGAGGGGTTAAGTATTGCAAAGGTGGTCAGTTGTTGCGTCTCCCTCAACCTGATCAACATGGCGCATGTCAGCACGCACAATTAACCTCGTTGTAGTACTGTGATACGTCCATTCCTGTGATACCTCCTCTGTTTGATATGGTATGGTACATTAATTGCACAAAAACTTTTGAATAACATTAACAAACTTATAGCTAGTTCTGGAAATGGTAGCGTATATGTAGAAATGATATATCGACAAACCACGAAACACAAGTGAGAAAAAAGACTACTTAAACGACCTTTACTATTACTTCTGGACATATTTATCTCCAATTGAAAATGAGTATCATCTTGATTAAAATTTTCCGATTTCTGAAGTTTTCATGAGGTTAAAGTGAGCTGTGATAACCAGACTCCTGTCTCAAGGCTACACGTGCTAGTAAATGTGTGAAATTGATCTATAGTGCCATTTTATTGTTGTTGATGTTGAGAATAAAATAATTTGATAACAAATTAATTTCTTGTCCTTACCAGAGTGTGATGATAATGAGCGTACGGTACATGTTATTCCCATGCTATATGATTATGCAGCACCCGTTGCTCTGATAATTATAAATATTTTTAAACTAATTCTATGAACATTAATAAACCTACATATAAGGCTATATTTTTCTAATATACTGTACATGAAATCAGTGATATTACTCAATTTCGTGATAAATGCAGCAATATCCACCTTCGCTCCCTAGGCCCCGTTGTGCGTCTTTGACCTGTGCCCGGGTGGGCTAGTTCCCGTAAAAAAAAAAAAAAACTACATAATTAATACACGTCGTGTTCATCAATTCGACAAAAGTAAACTTATTGGAAATGTCTGCTTCGTCATATAAGTTCACTATATAAAGCTTATTTATTTAATAAAGGAAAAATATGCATACCTAAGTTACTTTAAGATTTATTCATTAGTAAATTGTACCTCTCTCTTTAAATTTGTTTAAGTTGACGTTTAGGGAAATATTACAACCTAATTAAAGAAATATTCAAGTTATTTTATGTCTAATATTATGTTTATATTAGTATTTAAAGCAAGGAAAAAAATAGTTAAATTACCGACAAATTTCCAGTCTATTTCATTAAAAATTACAACCGAGTGACAAAAATTTCCACCTCGGTGTATGTCTAAATGAACACTTGTTTTGCTCTTTAACTGGTAAGGCAAAAAGACAAATATATATATATATATATATATATATATATATATATATATATATATATATATATATATATATATATATATATATATATATATATATATATATATATATATATATATATATATGCAAGTAAATCACTGTAGGTGCGCGTGATCTAGGTATATGCTGATAACCATAAGGAAAGAAGAAAACACGAAGTTCCCAAGCGCTTTCGTGTAATTCACATCTTCAGGGGTGAGTACAGACTAGAGAGAGTAATAAAAATCAAGGTGTATATATAGAGGAGGGTGAGACCAGGTCCACAATGGTCAGGTATTAGGAAATGACCCTAATAATCTTTAAATAGCACACAACGGTTGGTGGTCAGGTCAGATGGTCAAGTGACCCGGCCTTCTCACCTGATCACAAATCTTCTTAATTACAAAATTGTCCAGCTTGTACATGCCGTTACTCAAATTCATGTTGAATGCTTCGGTATGTTTAATAAGACTAGATTCTATGATGTTCCTACTATCAATTGAATTACATGGTAATATTGAGGAGGCATTATCCCAGTCAATGCAATGCTTGTTATCCCTCAAATGAACAAACAGAGCATTGGATTCCTGGCCTGTCCTAACACTGTATTTGTGTTGTTTAATTCTAGTTGCAAGATCTTTACCTGTCTGGCCTAAGTAAAACATATTACATTCCTTGCAAGGAACTTTATAAATGCAACCAATTGTGTTGTTGGGGGAGTTCTTGATTAACATTTGTTTAACAGTGCATGAGTTTTTAAATGCCACATTGACGTTCCAGGTTTTTAGCTGTGCAGGAATGTGTGAGAAATTTTTGTGAAATGGTAATATCAAGATATTCTTATGGTCATGGGTGGGCTTGGGGTCAGTTCTATAAAAAGTTTTCTTAGTAATGTTTAAGCATTTGTCTATGAAAGATCTAGGGTATTTAAGGTTTGAGCCAATATTATATATATATTTGTATTCCTTTGATGTAACGTCACTTTTTACGAAGGTCCCAGTTGATGATTTACTAGAGTTCCTCATAGATTCCCTGGATAACATTTCACTGCCCGTCTCGAAAGACGACTTCATCGAACTCATCAAACTATGTATTAAGGATTGCAAATTCGAATTCAATGGGGAATATTGTGCTCAAAAATTTGGTATGGCAATGGGTAATCCACTCTCACCTGTATTAAGCAACCTATATATGGAATTCTTTGAAAAGAAACTATTAAGTAATATTTTGCCACCCTCAGCAGTCTGGTTTAGATATGTTGATGATGTATTATGTCTCTGGCCATGTAATGAGGACCTAAAAGCTTTCCTGCCACAACTTAACAACTTAGCCCCCTCGATCAAATTCACTGTGGAATTAGAGCAAGACTGTAAATTGCCATTCCTAGACTGTCTGATACACAGAATAGGTAACACTTTTAAGTTCAGTATTTATAGAAAACCAACTAATGTGTGTTCATACATTCATTATTATTCTGCCCACCATAATAAAGTCAAACAGTCAGTATTTTCAACAATGTTTTTACGTGCCTTGAGAATTTGCAGTCCGGAATTCATCGATGAGGAATACAAATATATATATAATATTGGCTCAAACCTTAAATACCCTAGATCTTTCATAGACAAATGCTTAAACATTACTAAGAAAACTTTTTATAGAACTGACCCCAAGCCCACCCATGACCATAAGAATATCTTAATATTACCATTTCACAAAAATTTCTCACACATTCCTGCACAGCTAAAAACCTGGAACGTCAATGTGGCATTTAAAAACTCATGCACTGTTAAACAAATGTTAATCAAGAACTCCCCCAACAACACAATTGGTTGCATTTATAAAGTTCCTTGCAAGGAATGTAATATGTTTTACTTAGGCCAGACAGGTAAAGATCTTGCAACTAGAATTAAACAACACAAATACAGTGTTAGGACAGGCCAGGAATCCAATGCTCTGTTTGTTCATTTGAGGGATAACAAGCATTGCATTGACTGGGATAATGCCTCCTCAATATTACCATGTAATTCAATTGATAGTAGGAACATCATAGAATCTAGTCTTATTAAACATACCGAAGCATTCAACATGAATTTGAGTAACGGCATGTACAAGCTGGACAATTTTGTAATTAAGAAGATTTGTGATCAGGTGAGAAGGCCGGGTCACTTGACCATCTGACCTGACCACCAACCGTTGTGTGCTATTTAAAGATTAGTAGGGTCATTACCTAATACCTGACCATTGTGGACCTGGTCTCACCCTCCTCTGTATATATACACCTTGATTTGTATTACTCTCTCTAGTCTGTACTCACCCCTGAAGATGTGAATTACACGAAAGCGCTTGGGAACTTCGTGTTTTCTTCTTTCCTTGTGGTTATCAGCATATATATATATATATATATATATATATATATATATATATATATATATATATATATATATATATATATATATATATATATATATATATATATATATATATATATTACCCTTGGGACAGGTTCTCAGTGGAGTAGTAGCGTGGAGTCGAGTTTGGGGTCCGTTAGCTTGTTGCTGTTCACGGACTCAGGGCTGTGGTAGCGGTGTAATGGTAAACACATTTGCGCCAGAGTCGACGTGTCTATTGTTGATGTGCCTGTCCCTCGGATATTATTAGACCATTCCCCAGGATGCTGCAGCAACCCAGGTTCCTATTTGGTGATAGGTGAACAGAGGCATTGGGTGTTAGGAGATTTGCCTAGTGTCTCGCCCTGCCCGGAGATGGAACCAGAGTTTTTTCAACTTTGAGCTGACTGCGTTAACCAATACGCTACAAGGTACCCTATATATATATATATATATATATATATATATATATATATATATATATATATATATATATATATATATATATATTTTATATATATATATATATATATATATATATATATATATATATATATATATATATATATATATATACTGAGCTCGTGTGGCAAAAATATAATATACTGTTCAGGCCTTAACATATAATAACACTAAAGCGTAACATGTTAATGGGACTTTTTATGTTTATATCAGTAAATCCACAGAAATTTTATATATTTTTTGTAATAAACCCACTATAATGTATCGATCAAGACGGTGGCCATCATCAACACCTTGTATGAACCTGACACTGGATAGGTCACTTAATTCTTCCTTTGTAAGGTTTGCATGAAAAATTACAACACTACAACTTATTTGGATTAACTAAAATAAAATATTTGGGTTTACTTATATAAATAAGATTTTGTGGGTTTACAAAAAACTATAAACCTTTGTTTACTGATAAAAAAGAAAACACCCTGAGTATTTTTTGTGGATTTATTAATAAAAATAATTCACCCAATATACCGAATACATATTTTTAAGGGTATATTAATTAAAAGGCATGAATAATACTCATTTGTTCTGCAATAAAAAATACTCCCATCTACTCTACTAAATTCCATTAAGATTTCCATAGTAACATCTACAGACAGACAGACAAACCTACATAATTCAGTGCGTGGACTAAATTAGGTGAAATATATTTAACAATAAAGAACTTCATATATTTCGAGTAGGATATTGTATTATGAAAGTACCTTAATATAACGACAGATAAAGTGAACCAACCTAACTTAACCTAACGTAGATAACGAATGCAAGATTAATTTAGATTTAGATAGCTTAGGTTTAGGTTAGGTCCGGTTAGATTAGGCTAGGCTAGGTTAAGTTTGGTTAGGTTTGCTCATGTTTGAATAGGTTTGGTTGGTTGGGTTAGGTTAGGATAGATTAGATAGATTTCGTAGGTTAGATTTGGTTTGGTTAGGTTAGCTTAGATTTGGTGAGGATAGATTAGGTGGGTAAGTTAGGTTGACATAAATTTGGATAGGTTAAATCAGGTTTGGTAAGTTAGGTTAAGTAAAAATGGGATAAGTTTAGTTAGGCAAGTTGAGTTAGGTTAGATTTGATCTGTCAACATTAATGGCGACCAGACAACATTATCAAGACTTACACAATCAGGTGAAATGTTTCGTATAGAACCCGCTACACGAAAACACCTACTGTATCCACATCGCTAACATCAAACTCTCACTAAATTCTAAACGTATCCGAGTTACTTTTGTCAACATTCACAATAGTGTTCAATATATTATACCGTTAACAGTACCTTTATCTGAATCGGTCTGAAGGCACTACCGACTCCCTCATCCCCAGATGAGATAACGAACCCGTACTTAATAATAAGCCTAACTTGTCTGAGAATATCTAAGGCTGATTTTTCTTATAGTTTACGATACTTATGCTAGTTATGGTTAACAGTACCTAACTACAGTATAACGATTTTTACAAAAAAGTCAGTTGGATTTCGTAAATCTCGGGGTTTCATTTCCTGAATGTATCAACACACAAATAACTAAAGACCACCTGAATTTTTGTGAGATCAGTAATATGTAGATATTTATACTCATAATTAATATAACTCAATTTGTTTTTCAGAAAAATCAGGTTTTATTGTTTCGAAATGTGGCTTTGTTATCTCGACAAAGGGTTCGAGAACTGATGACTGAACACTACCGTATCATCAGCCTATACAAGGTCTAAGATTCGAACTATAGACTCACAAATGTACTAATACTACCCTGTATATCTACACTGACATACCTGCAATCACGGTAAACTTGAATATGCTGTGACAGAGGCGTTGAATACATTGTAAACTTAATAGTGTACAGTACAGAGACACATCTCGGGCGGAGACTCAGTAGTAGCGACCAGTTTGTTTATATTGATGATGTCTATAAACTCCTTACTTTTTTTATTTTTTTACCTTTATTCTCTTCGCCACTGATCGACTCGTTAGCCGCTTGGTCACGTCCCTTGTTACCCATGATGGCAAGTACTAGGCATGTATACTGGCTCCAGACTCCAGGATGTATCTGTAGTCTGTACCTGCGCCAGTGTTGGTCAAGTCTGGTCTTGAAAAAGCTCGCACACGGTGTTGTCACATCACTCTGGCAGATTATTCCACGAGTTTACAATATTCATTCCAAAAAAGTTTGCCCTCACAATTTTCTAGAATTGTGGCTTGTTCAACCTTGAGCTGACTTCTAGTGGTGCGGGTTTCCGCCATCTCCAAGTATGGACATTCGTCTGAGTAGTGCCCTCTGAGATCTTTGTAAACTTCAATTAAGTCACCTCTTACCCGTCTATTGCATAAGCTAGGCCTTTGCAGGCGGTCTAATCTCTCTGGGTAATTGAAGTACCTTAGCACAGGCAGCAGTCTGGTGGCCCTCCTTTGGTCATTTTCAATCAACTGACAGCCTCTTGCATATCTCGGAGACTAGACTAGGTGACCGTACTCTAAACGGGGAAGCACGTAACCCTTGAAGAGCGTTACGATAACTGACAACTTACTATAATAACTTTATTATTAAATTCACCTCACAATGCCCCGAGAACTTCAGTTCATTGTCAACATACACACCCAGTCTTTTCACATTAACGATCTATGACTTACAAAAATTATTCCTATAACTTTATTTTTGTGTCAGAATTCACACAGCGCTTTTTCATAATTTTCACTAATGAATGGCATTTTTTAAAATAACTCCAACGAGATTTTTATTAAGTACTAAGGTGCATCAACAACTAAGATCTTTAACATGCTCAGGAAGCTAGTTTTTATCTTATTGACAACTATAAAAGATATTTTATTTTCAAGCATATGCATATTCAATTGTTTCCATTTAAAAGAGGATGAGAAGTGCATCCTAATGGCATACTACTTGTTCCGGCGCCTTATGTTTCTCATTAGTATGAGCAGCGTCTCTGTGTATTCTTCCGCGTCACTCTCACTCGCTGAAAGAGAACCAATTATTACAATAATATTAACACAAGATAATTGATGACAAAATATTACTACTATTCAGAGTCGTTTAATAAAATAATAATAATAATAATAATAATAATAATAATAATAATAATAATAAAATACTACTACTACTATGTAAGGGCGGAAACGATCTTCCTGCTCGTTACCACTGCTAACTCTCTCGTTTGCTGGTGCGGACAACACTTAGGAGGTTGGATAGAGGTGAGAACGGCAGCTGCTACCTGTGTCAAAAGCAGATTCACCCCAGCCGCCATGCAGTCAGTGGCGTAGCTAGAGTGTGTGCCGCCTGGGGCGGTTCTTGAGTTTGCCGCCCCCCCACCCCCCCCCGTGCCCCCACAAAAAATACATATTGCACAGTGACTCACTCTTATATATATATTAAATAGTTTGTGTACCATTATAATATTACTGTACTTTCACATACTCAAATATAGTATGCTTTAAATACACCCCAAACATACTTAAACTTTATAAGTAACAGTTAAACAAAAAGCAAAAATGACATATAGTATAGGGAAAAAAGTAAAAAAGTGTAAAAAATTAGGACCATCTTTATTTCTGAAATGAAAACTACAACTTTCTACAAAGTAACTTTTCTTGTTTTTTGTTGGCAAATTCTTCAGTGACATTGTCAAAAACTATTTCATCTGTCAATTGTCGCTCTATAGACAGTATGGCAAGATTTCTCAACCGCAAGGTGCTCATAGTAGATCTTATGTAATTCTTGATCAGTTTTAGTTTCGAAAAACTCCTCTCACAGGTAGCAACACTAACAGCAATTGTGAGGAAAATCCTCAGCATTATTACTATATTTGGAACCGAGTTCCCAAGGTTATACTTTTGAATAAACTGCAAAAGTTCAAGGGGGCCTTCTTTCCACGTCTGTATTCTGTCTTTAATAGTTATAGCAGCAACAGCAACAAAATGCTGAAGTCTTTTTCTCTCAACGAGGAACTCCTCTTTATCAATGTCGTCGTGATCGTGATCTATTTGACACTGGCGTACTTGTTTGAAGTTGTTTCCTTAATCCTCAACAGGTTACAGGTTGTGTGTGTGGCGGGGGGGGCGCATAGCAAGGGTGTAGCTCATGACGTGGCCGTGATGATGTGGGTCAGGTGTTAGGTCAGACACGACAAGGATTAACTTGCCGCCGATACAAAGGGATGGATTAACGTCTCCAGTAGCTGCAGATATGGGTGATGAGCAGACCCAAAAGTGCCGCCCCCCAAAAGTGCCGCCCGGGGCGGACCGCCCCCCCCGCCCCCCCCTAGCTACGCTAGTGCATGCAGTCACTATCTAGCTACCCTGCTGTTCGTCAAATTCTGGCTGTGATCTCATCATAGGTCGTGGGCTGTGTCCCCAGACCTTCACCTATCAACTGCCAACCCTCTGGTCATCTACCACTACCACATACCACGACCGTCAGTTCATCTCATTCCGTCTGTGCCCCGGTGTTCTCCTGCCATTTCAAGACAAGCTGCCTCTGTCTCTCGCATGTGGAGTTGAATGGACGCTTCCCTACCCTGAGGATGCATCACCGTGTTCCAGAACCTTCCCCCAGGGCCACTGCCGTAGGAAATATCTGTTCATTGTTTGATTCTATGGTAGTTTGATCCCATTAATTGCTGACTCCCCTTTATTGTTCGATTCTATTAATTGTTGACTCCCATTAATTGTTCGATTCCCTTAATTGTTTAACTCCATTAACTATTAACTGCATTAATTGTTTAACTCCCGTAATTATTTCATGTTGTTGAGTGGTGTCAGAGTTTTGTTATATTTTTTAATAGTAAAGAGATGTCAATCTCAAACGGTTGCTTGCTATTCCTCAGAAAACCATGGTCCTTGACTTTCCTTTATTAAGTAAGAACCTGATTAGTCTGGTAAGGGATTTCTATCCCTAATTCCCAGGCATTTACATACTACTACTACTACTACTAATAATAATAATATCTTGTTTCCACTTCTATAAAATAAAAGCACCTTAAAATTGATAAAGATTTATAACTCAGAAAAAAGAGAGGGCAGTAACCGTACACACACACGAATGAAGGCCAATGTCACACCTGTTTTAACACATGTATACCTAGTCTCCACCCCCCCCCCCTCTCTCTCTCAGCACATTCCTACTAGCCATGTTTGTAATTATACCCCAAGGTGAAATATGTGTTTATGTATATACTTATTCGTTACTTAAATATTTTTAAGTTACTTGTATTAATTATACGGTCGAAGGCGTCAGGTATACCTCCAGTTATCCATTTATTTGCCAAAATGCTTTAAATGGTATTAAATCAAGCAAGTCTCAGTGAATCGTACAAGAGAATAATCACTACGTGTCTTTGTTTTGTTATTGCCCGACGCTCGTGTTTCCAATCGTTCATTTATCCGTTATTTTTTTTGTCTGGTACACCGTGTTATTTCTCTATTTTGGGGTTTATTTATCAACTTACGTGTACTCTTTATTAATTATTCTGTTTATCTCTTTCTCTCTGTTTATTGCTGTATTTGTGTCTGTTTTCTCGAGTCTCTGCCTTTAATGACGTCGCTAGAAGGTATTGAGTGTTGTGTAAGGACATGTGTGTACCCACGAGAATTTAATGGAAGCCACAACATTTCACATTATTTACGAGATATTCTTCAGTTTGTTCTGAGGGTACATTTGCTTTTAAGAGATATACATAATTCCTATTAGGGTAATTCTCAAGATTTTTGTATTTTTTTTCTTTTAGTTCTGTACCCTTGACGTCACTGCCCGTCTTTCTATTTATCTATCGCTTTATTTATACAATACTATTTTTTATTTTGCCTGTCAGTCTTTAGTAATATATATACCACTTTATCGGCTTGTCATTCTATCTATCACTATCTATCTGTCTATCTATCTACCTTTGTCTTCCAACTATATATAGAGTTGACCGGTGGTATAAGTGTTCACTATACTGTATAGAGGCGGCCGCTGGTAAGTGTTCACTATATACAGGTAGCCGCTGGTAAAAGTGTTTACTATATAAAGGTGACTGCTTAAATCAGAGTGATATAACAACTGCCTTGTTACTTCAGTAAGTATGAGACAGGCAAACCTTTTAATATCATTTGGAGAACAACAACAACCGAAAAAATAAAAGTATTTATTACCCGAGAGCAATCGTCGAGCTGAGGTGTGACGTCACGACTATGGTGGTTTACGTCACGGCCCGGGTGGCTGACATCATGAATCAGTTGTGAGCCCAGCTGACGTCGTATCAGCTGTTTCTCTGAAAAAGCCCTAGTTCACCTGTATTGATTGTAATTGTTCTGTGTTATTGTGTGGTTATCATTGTTCTATATTGTTCGTTATGAAAAGTCCACCCCAAAATATCGTTAGATTTCCGTTGCTACAATTTGAAACATTAGACGAAATGCATCATCATAAGTTGGTATATCTGCTCACCATAGCAGTAACAGCTACATATGGGGTAGGATTGGGAGAGGAAGTCTTCCTTGTATGGCATACTACACACTTTAATATAACAAGAAATCCATTAAGCTATAATAATGTATCACTAAAACGTATATTATCATTCATGCTCGAATGTCGCATCTGTAGAACTACCAACCGTTCAGATACAGGTCGAGTAACATTGCTCAGAAAGCCTCTAATCACATAGACCCCCATGGCTAACGATACTTTTTTGGGGGACTTTACATACATTTATTCAACCATGAGGAATATTGTATGTATGTGTGTCTGCTCGAGCTTTGTCTGTTCGTCTGTCTCTATCTCTCCTCTCCCCTTCCTTTTTCAACCCCCCCCCCTCTCTCTCTCTCCTTCAAACTTCTATTTTACTTTTATCCTCTTCACCGCTGATCAGCTTGTTAGCCGCTTGGGCGATCGGTCACGTCTTTGTTACGCACTATTGGCAAGTACTGGGCATGCACTGGCTCCTGAATGTATTTGAACTTGCTCTAGCATTGGTAAAGTCTGGTCTTGAAAGAGCTCACACTCAGTGCCGTCACAACACTTTCTGGTAGATTGTTCTAAGAGTTCACACATCTCTTTCTGCACACCCCACCTCTCTCTCTCACTTCACACTCTACCTCCCCTACGTCTCTCTCTCTCTCTCTCTCACTCACTTCAGCAGCTGAGTGTCAAGGTCGTTGAAGTCTTGACGCCGTGTTGTGGACCTCAACTGGTGGACCTCAAACTCGAGGGCCATCAGTTCCTGCTCCAGCTGTCTCCTGCGGTGCTTCTCCTCCACCTGCCTCACCACCTGCTCGTACAGCGCCTCCATCAGCTGCAGAGACAGGAGTAAGCAGCTGTTTTAGGGGGTGTCTCCACATGTAGACTGAGAGGGAAGAAGGGTTATCCATCTTACAGGTGTTTTGAGGGAGTGTTAAGGGAGGTTGTGAGTCGTACAGGTGTTTTAAGGAGGTGTTAAGGGAGGTTGTTAGTCGTACAGGTGTTTTAAGGAGGTGTTAAGGGAGGTTGTGAGTCGTACAGGTGTTTTAAGGAGGTGTTAAGGGAGGTTGTTAGTCGTACAGGTGTTTTAAGGGAGGTTGTGAGTCGTACAGGTGTTTTAAGGTGGTGTTAAGGGAGGTTGTGAGTCGTACAGGTGTTTTAAGGTGGTGTTAAGGGAGGTTGTGAGTCGTACAGGTGTTTTAAGGTGTTAAGGGAGGTTGTGAGTCGTACAGGTGTTTTAAGGAGGTGTTAAGGGGGGTTGTGAGTCGTACAGGTGTTTTAAGGAGGTGTTAAGGGAGGTTGTTAGTTGTACAGGTGTTTTAAGTAGATGTTAAGGGAGGTTGTTAGTCGTACAGGTGTTTTAAGTAGATGTTAAGGGAGGTTGTGAGTCGTACAGGTGTTTTAAGTAGATGTTAAGAGAGGTTGTGAGTCGTACAGGTGTTTTAAGGAGGTGTTAAAGGAGGTTGTGAGTCGTACAGGTGTTTTAAGGGGGGATGTGAGTGGTGCTAGTGTTTCAGGGGGCTGGTGCACGCAGTATAAGGCATTATCAGGGGGATACTCGTAGGGACAGATATTAGTTGAGAGGTGCAGCTGTGTTAGAGGGAGTTACACATAATTTAAGGGCCCTCAGGTGTGTCAGGGGAGGTAGCTACTCGTGGTTGAATGGGGAGTTGATGTGTGGTTAAAAATCTCAAGGGGTGATTGTTTGTATTGCAGACGTTTCAGGGGGTACTACTGCATGTTGTAGAGGAGGAACGTTAGCGTGAGGGACGTATCTTATGTGTGTGTGTGTGTGTGTTTTAGAGAACTGTAGCACATCCAGTTTGAAATATGGTACACATACACACTCAAAAACATAACTATATACAATATATACAAATAAACACACACATATTAATTCAGACACAAATACAAACAAAACACCAAAAGACCTTAAAAATCATATATTTTTTCCTAGCCCACAAAATGGCTTACATACCCACAGTTTCACTACACACCTGTCTCATACCTGCCACACACGTAGCCTTGACTCTACCATACACCTGCCTCACGTCACTCACACGTGGCCTGTGGCCTTAACCAAGAATTCTGGGACCAAGGAGGATGGAGCACCCAAGTGTTAATTTTTATCCTCCCGCGACGGTGGCGTTGCCAAGCGGCCGCGACGTATAAACACATTAACTCCATTGCGCCTTATATGATATTGTGCTGTACATAGACTATCAAACAGCAATAACCTATTTTTGTAAGTCTCTTTAGTTTCCCTCTCAAATATGTTAGGGAAACGGACTAACAAAGTAACTTGCATATTACGTGTTTATCCGAACAACTTCAGCCATTGAAAACTTGTACAGTAAGTTCATACACACGATTTATAGTTCACTTCCTTTCTACTCCAACATCAGTGTTGGAGTATACTTCAAGGTTCACTTCTCGACCCAACACTATTTACATTCCACATTGATGACGTAACTTTCATTACCTCCACCAATGACACTTCATATTGCTTATGACACTAACCTACACACATGTTTATCCTCGACAGACAGACGGACAGACACTCACCTGGTGCTTGAGGAGGTCTGCTGCCTGTCTCTTGGCCACACTCAGCTGTTTGTAGGACTCCAGCTCGGCCTCCAACTCTGCCACCTGCTGCCAGAGGTGACTGAGTCAGTTATGTACATGAATATACTATACTATACTGTACTGTACTGTACACACACACACACACAAACACAAACACATATATAAACACAAACACACACATACACATATATAAACATATAAACACACACACACACACACACACACACACCCGTAGGAAATGAAAAATCGATATAATTAACAGCTGTTGAGGGAATGAGGAGAGGAGTGAGAAGTGGGGTGGGGGAGGAGAGGAGTGAGAGGTAAGGTATAAGAGGTGGTGTGTGTGTGTGTGTAAACCAAGGTTGAATATTTAGTAGCAATACATTTATGCTAACACACACACACACACACACACACACACACACACATACACACACACACACACACACACACACACGCGCGCGCACACATACACACACACACACACACACACACACACACGCGCGCGCACACATACCTGGTGATAACAGTCAATAGGTGACGGAAAAGACATCTGTTGAAGCACCTTTGTCCTTGTGGTGGGCACAGGTGTGTGAGACCTTGCACCACACCTGGCTCAAGGGATTGTGTTTCCGTGTGGGGTAGAGACAAAGAGACGAAAGGAGAGGAAGAGGGAAGAAAGGGTGAGAAGGAGAGAAGGAAGGGGGGGAGGAGAGGGAGAAAGGAAGGGATAAGATGAGAGGGGTGAATCAGAGGTAGAGAGAAAGGTAGAAGAGGAGAGAGAAGAGAGAGACGGATGGAGGATAAATAAGGAGGAGGGGAGGGATCGATAAGGAATGGGAGGGGAGGAGGATGGAGGAAAAGAAGGAAGAGAAGAAAACAGCAGGAAGAGGAAGTAGTGAGAGTATAAAGGAAGTAGGAAGTGAAAGGGGGAGAGGAGGAAGAATAACACCTGTGTAAAGGGGGGAGGAGAAGGACGCCCTCATTCCTGTCCCCGTCGCGTAGTGGTAAATGGTAAGAACAAAGATGAGAGAATGGTAGATAGATAGGGTACTGGAGAGAGAGAGAGAGAGAGAGAGAGAGAGAGAGAGAGAGAGAGAGAGAGAGCCTACGTGTTTGTCTACCTTGAATGGGTTAATAGTTCGAAACATCAAACCAGTACCATCAAGGGATCGAACTTCAAAGCAAACTCGAATCCTCACAATGCAAGTATAAAGTATACTAAAGGCATTCATTAAGAAACATACATTACACAGTACAGTTTAACTAGAAAGAAAATATAGAGATGAGCGCATCAATGGTTGAAAGGAGGAAGCGGATATTTTGTTATGAAGGGTAACTCCAGCGAGACGGAAGGTAATTTGCCGGGAACCCCTCTGATTGGTTCATTCACTTGATGGCGACCCAGGAAGGTGTCTACAGTATTTGTTTTGGTTCAGGTTTCCTGTTTGTTGAAGCTATGTCAATTTTGATTGGCTGTTGCAACAAAAATTGATGACGTGTTACATCCAAACCAGTCAGACCGCTTCAAGTAATGACATCATGCAAGTACGTCACACAAGCTAAGCTAATCAGAATTTTTCTCTGGCAATGACGTCAATACCCAGAGAGCAATGGGAACTGTTTATACACATGACGTCATACAAATAAACCAGTGCTAAAATCAATCCAGAGACAATATATTAATAAACACAGCGCCATATTATGCTGCCACGAGTGAATGATAATAACGAATTTATTTTGTGATAGTAAACAAACAACGTGACATACAATATTCTTACCTTAGTAAGGCCACTAATGATATAGACTCGTAGTTTATCCTCATAACAGACGAAGTAGAAGGTATGTTTATGTAGGTAAGTACAGTAATGACTATCAACACCTACAGTATGAACAGTTTTTTTGAACACTACAGATGAATAAAGTTAGGATAGAGAGAGAAGAGTGTTACAACAGGTGCTTGATGAGGACCGGGGTATACACACTCTCTCTCTCTCTCTCTCGTAGTGATATAGGCTGGTGACCTACCTGGCCGTGTAAGGGGGTGGTGGTGTGTTGTTGCGGTCGTCGTCTTAGGTTGTGTAACACACGTCGTATGGCCTCCAGCAGCCCTCCACGTCGTCCCTCTGCGCTGTGGTCGTCGTGGAGCTCCTCGCTGGGACCCTCGTCGTCCCCACAGCAGTACGACCCTGACGACAATGCACATCCAGGCGATGACGTACACGACGACACCCCGATAGTGTCTCTATGACGCGCCCTGATCCGTCTGGGGGAGGAGGTGAGGGAAGTGGAGGGGGACGAAGCAATGGGAGAAGGAGCTGTTGATAAGAGCGGTGATGGCGTCCCCAGGGGAGAACAATCCGTCGAGGAGCCCCACCTTCTACTGCGGCGCCACCGTGAATCACCCACGTCCACATACCCTGACGAGGACGCTGCAGAAAACTCGGGAAGGGGGAGAAGAAGGGAGTGTTTCCTTGTCGGCATGTCAGCCCGCGAGGACGATGACCCCTTGGATGACTTCTGAAGTGAATGGAGGAATGAATGTTGCCCTTTAGGAGAATCGTCATGTAGGGGGCAGGAAGGAGCCACTGGAGACTCATCAAGTGGTGAAAGGTGCGACGTATTCGTTCTGGAGGATGGCTGGGAGGTGTCCATGACCCTAAATCCATCAGTAGCCCAGTCCGTCGACCAGCGTGCCTGTAGCTCCTGGTAGCCGACGGCAAACCTCACACTACTGTAGTATTCCTCTTTAGCCAACTGGTCGAGGAGCTGAGTTCGACCAGGACCGCAGCCCAGGTCCCCAGCCAACAGCCCTTCCTCCTCTTCGTTTACCCCTGATGCTGGTAACCACCGGTGATGGTGACCAAGGTCCGTGCGAGCCATCCGGACCTCCTTCTCAGGTGAGTCTCTCAACACCTGTGACGGGTAGTGTGTTTGCCAGGGCTGTAGTGCCTCACTCTGCCCCCCCCCCCCTCCACCAGCACCTCCACCTCACACCTACCCCCCCCGCCCCTACATACCCCCACCTCACACCTGTGCTCGTCACTCCCCTCTACCAACCACAACACCTGCAGCACTACCAGTAACCCTCCCGCACACTGCTCCTCCCCCACCCAACCCCAGTACACTTTACCTCACCCAACACTTCAAAACCTCATCCCATTCCCACTCACCCTACCCCCATCCTCGCCATCACACTCATTCCTTCCCACATTTCTTTTCCCCTTTATTACCCCCAATCCCTTCCACACACCTCCTCCCCACCATCACCTTCACTCCCTCCCACACCCCTCCTCCCCACCACCACATTCACTCCCTCCCACACCCCACCATCACACCCACCCTCACCCCTCCCACACCCCACCATCACCCTCCCCTCACTCTCTCCCACACCCCACCCTCACTCCCTCCCACACCCCACCCTCACTCCCTCCCACACCAGACATCTCTCCTGCCAACCTCGACAATGCCACGGTCAAAACACATGGCGAATACTCAACAAGGACGAGGAGTATGGCTCAAGGCTCTCAAGTGACCTTCTTATATAAACACTCATTTTATAAGCACTTAGAGGCTTTGGCTTTTTTTTGTCGGCCATATTTAATGAGGGAGTCTGGCGTAGCTGAGAGTCTGTTAGTTCATTCGTTAGTTGAGTTTTTACTATCATTGGTCACTCTGTTTGTCTGTCTCTCTTTCTAAGATTAGAGTAAATTAAGTTAGTATCTCTTTCACACACACACACACACATACACTCACCTTCATGTTACTTCCTGTACTGACCTTGTATGAAACCGGAAATACAGGAACTTACTGTTAAACCTTCCTTACTAATCACTCCTCTCCCCTGGCCTTTCTTCTGACCTGATTAATCCACTAGTAATCCGTGTCTATTTACTGCTTAATCCCCTACTTAATCTAACTACTGTAATCTACAAGTAATCCGTCATTCTTATTGTTAATCCTTTGGTAATTAAATCCTACCTGAAAGCAATAAATCCAAACTCCACATACACGTCTTTTTCTATTTACAATCTGCATACAGTCGTGCATACGTATGTGTAGTCAAGTGCGTGGTTATTTTGTGTAGTGTAATATACGTAAGTATCATACACAGTTAGGTTGTAGGTAGTAGGCAGCTACCAAACAGGGAGTTACTACCGCCTGGGAAGATATTGGAAGCATAATGTATTGTCTAATGGTAGACTCTGCTGCCATATGGCATCACGAAAATTGTGACCAAGTCCCAGGTTGCTGATCTGATTTTCTGCCTCATTTACACACAATTGCAGGGTCTCAATTGTTTCTCTTTCTTTGACAACACAACTTTTATGTATCGTTTCTCACTATTGATCTTTTTTTTTTTTGCATTTGTTTATGGTTCTATATTATTATTATTATTATTATTATTATTATTATTATTATTATTATTATTATTATTATTATTATTATTATTATTATTATTATTATTATTATTATTATATATCTACGCCCCCCAGGCCCTGATGTGGGTCATTGACCTGTGCCTGGGTGGGCTAATCCCCATTAAAAAAAAACTAATACAGACAGACACTGTGTACAACACCTTGGGAGAGGGATAAACTTCGCCCAGGTGTTTTATGGTTAATCAAGTCAATATGGTAAGCTATCATATTGATGACCTGAAAATTGGGCCAGGGACGCATGGGGGAGGGAGGGAGGGAGGGAGGGAGAAGGGGAATGAAAGATAGAAGTAGGGAAAGAGGAAGGGAGATCCGGAAGTGGAGGGAAGAAGGAGGGAGTAAGGAGGAAAGGTAGGGAGGAGGATGGAAACGGAGAGAAGGAGAAATAAGAGGACACAAGGATGGAGAGAAGGAGGGAAATCCGAGGATGGAGGAAAGGAATGGGATCCAGTGATGGAGAGAGAGAGAGAGAGAGAGAGAGAGAGAGAGAGAGAGAGAGAGAGAGAGACGCCACACAGGTGAGATAGGTCACGTGGTGGACAGGTATTCTATCAATTAACATCAATCAGCAGGTCCAGGTGTGTGGCGGAGGTCACTTGTGCTGTACACTCTACCTTAACGCCGTTACTGAGGGCCCTGCCTATAATAAGACCCACTGATGTACACTATATTTTATTATTATTATTATTATTATTATTATTATTATTATTATTATTATTATTTATTATTATTATTATTATTAAGGTAATTAAATGGGGGCGAAGGTATGGCTATTGGGGGAGGCTGCAGGCCATTATTTAAAAAAAAGTAGTAGTAGTAGTATTGGTTCACGCCATGAGATTGATATTTGAGCAGCGTGATTGTGAGGCCGTTCTCCTGGTGGATGCTTCAAACGCATTCAACATACTTAACCGCAAGGCTGCACTGCACAACATCAAGATCAAGTGTCCTAGCTTTGCGATGTATGTTGAAAATTCGTATAGGAATCCATCAGACCTCTACATAGTAAACAACAAGGCTCTACGAGGTGATACCATCCTACAGTCGACCGAGGGAACAACACAGGGGGACCCCGTTGCAATGGCAATGTATGCAATAGGCCTATCAGTGCTCCAACAAGAAATAAAATTTGAAACAACTGGGGTCAAACAAGTGGCATATGCTGATGACCTTACAGGAGCCGGAAAAGTGGAGGACATCAAAAAGTGGTGGGACCTGGTAACATCGCGAGGTCCACAAATAGGGTACCACCCAAACGCCAGCAAATCCTTCCTCATCGTGAAGCCAGATCATTATGATCGGGCATTGGAGGTTTTCGGCGAAAGTGAGGTCAAAATAACTAAGGACGGCCAAAGACATCTAGGCGCAGTAATTGGCACTACGGACTTCAAGACCGATTACGTAGCGGGAAAGGTGAATGAGTGGGTTAGCGAAATCCAAGCTCTATCGGAGATTGCTAACACAGAGCCACATGCGGCCTTTGCAGCATTCACCCATGGAGTCAAGCATCGTTGGAACTACCTGATGCGTACCATCCCTGAGATCGGACCCCTCCTCCACCCTTTGGAAGAAGCAATCAGTGTCAAGTTCATTCCCAAACTAGTGAAACACCCTGACTTAACCCTAGCAGAAAGAACACTTCTTGCACTTCCACCAAGACTGGGAGGGATGGGACTAACTAATCCAGAGGAGATTGCTGACTCTGAACATCAAAATTCACTTAAGCTCACGGCAGCCCTCACTGACCACATAATAGCCCAGAATGCAACAGGGGAAGTGGACACCAGCGAAGTAAATAAGATCCGTAGGTCCATTACAACAGATCGGCAGCACTGCCAAAATGACATGTTGCAGCAACTATTGCTGCAGGCTCCAGAAAATTTGACAAAAAAAGTAGCTATAGCGCAGGAGGTGGGCGCCTCGAACTGGTTAACTACGTTACCGATAAGGGCAAATGGTTTCAGCCTTAACAAACAAGAATTTACAGATGCCATTGCTCTAAGGTACGGTTGGCCAGTAGATGGTTTGCCCTCCCAATGCGTGTGTGGCTCTTCCTATGATGGCGATCACGCCATGGTCTGCAAGAAGGGGGGCTTCATATGCATGAGGCATGACGAGGTAAGGGATCTCACAGCAAATATGTTGAAGGAAATCTGCCGGGACGTCATGGTAGAACCGACCCTCCTTCCACTGGATGGCGAGATCTTCCAACACAGGACTTCAAACACATCTAACGAAGCCCGTGTGGACGTCAGTGCTCGAGGATTCTGGACGCGGGGACAGCGTGCTTTCTTCGACATCAGGATTTTTGATCCCATGGCCGTTTGTCACCGTAACCTAGCTCTCGATGCTGCACATAGGAGGAACGAGAACGACAAGAGAAGGGCATATGGGGAGAGAATTCAAAATGTTGATCAAGGCAGCTTCACTCCTCTAGTGTTCACAACCTCTGGTGGGATGGGCCCAAGTGCAAGATGTTTCTACGCCAGACTCGCGGAGTTGATCTCCGAACAGAAGCAGCAGCCCAGAAGTTATGTTACAGCCTGGATGAGATGTCGACTGTCCTTCTCTCTCCTTCGGTCGGCTTTGCTCTGCCTCAGGGGAACGAGAGCTTCTGCCCCTACTCCGACAACTGCTGCAGATATTGACTATGAGGCTACAGTCACTGAATGCCGCATAGATCTGCGGCTCAACTAATTTAACACAGATAGGATAGCTTCTTATGTATTAGGATATTTAATATTAAGGTAAATAAATGGTGGCGAAGGTGTGGCTATTGGGGGAGGCTGGAGGCCAATTAAAAAAAAAAAAAAAAAGTAGTAGTATTGGTAGTAGGTAGAGGGGTTGCACTTGATGTAACAGCTGCTGATCGAGTTAAGACTACCAACGTAACGTATTTTCACTGATGGTCTGTTGGGTACACACTCATAAGAGATATTAATTTGATTAAATCACAGCAAATGAGCAGTAATAGTGAAGAGATATTGGCACTGAACGCTGGTACCTCCTTATAATCAGTGAAAGCACTTCTTCGCTAGCGAGACTCAAATTACCCTACCCCTCATCCCCTGCCGCCCAACACACCCTAGCCGCCGTCGCCGGGCTAGAACAAACTGATGACATCCGTGTCAAGTTTATTTGGATCCCGTCACATATAGGAATAACTGCCTGTGACACTGTTGATCGACTTGCCAAAGAAGCGACACCAGAAGAAGCTATTGAAACCACCCTCGCCCTCTCCCTGAATCATCTCAAATCTCGCATACACGCCACACAACGAGAGGCATTCGACGAACGTTGGACACACCTGAAACAACGGGTAGCGCCACACTACGCCGCTATGACGCTGTAACCGGTGACGACAACCGCCACTACAAAGAGTATCAATCCCTGACTCGATCTCAACAGATCATGTACATGAGACTGTGCCTAGGGTACAGGTACCTATGGGAGTACATTGGCAACCCTGAGCCTGGCCGCACTGTTTGTAAACTTTGTGGTCAACCCGACTCTCACACCCTCACTCACTGCATCCTCACATGCCCGTATCGAATTTGTGTGGATTCCGTCCCATGTTGGAATTAGGTATCATGACCGTGCTGATAGACTGGCCAATGAGGCATGTAAGAAAGAAAATGTTGACCGTGACCTTGGCCTGTCCAATGCTGTATTTAAAAACATTCAAGTTAGTATCCTGAACTCAGAAATGCAGAGACCTGACAGTTGTAGCATTAGTAAATATGACAAATTTTGTGACGAGAGGTACCGGTATGGCCAGCATAAGGACAGAACCAGACAATGTGATGTAGTCGTGGCCAGAATTAGGCTAGGATACAGACACATTTGGCAAGTTAGTAACCTGTACCCATACCGGAACACTCAGCATGTAAACTTTGTGATAAACCTTTAAAGCATACACTTGAACACTATATTATTGAATGTGACACTGTCAAGGACTTCAGGCCACCTGGCTTATTGTATCATGAACTTTGTAATGTACTGCGCACATCATTGTCATTCCTAAAAACCCATTTTAATTCATATTACGTTACATAACATTCAAATCCACCGCGTTTGTAGAATCTCAGGAGAGACGTGTTTTTCCCATCTGTTTTACCCTCAGGATCACTCCCAGGAAGTCCCGCCTTCGAACACAGTTGTCACTACGTTTATTGCACTCTCTACTGGCAAACGCAACCTTGAATTAGTCTGTGTAAATCAACTTTAGTAATTCGCCAGACCTTTGTCAAGTGAGGGTCATCCTTGAATGAGTAGCACTTACATTGTTTGTAATTTCTGTCATTGCGTGAGTAGCGATCACTGGCAACTCAGGGGTATATAAACCAGTGCGAGGCGGGAGGAATAAACCTCCCATATCATCTTTCACCTTTGTTCCCAGGTATGTTCTGTGTTTATCAGCATTCAGTTTGATTCAGTCTATTGTAGTGAATATCAGTGTTCATGCTTTAACAGTGGAATTGTCATTCAACCAGTGTACGAAGTAATATAACGTAAATATCTGACGTGGCGAGACTGAAGATTTGTTTGTGACCCACCATGCTTCCCCAAAAAACCTCCCATATCATCTTTCACCTTCGTTCCCAGATCGAGGGTGGGCTTAATTGAAACCCACCCGTCGCTCGGAGCCGGTGGATACCCAGCAGTGGTCAATATAGGAGTGATGGTGCTGATTCGGCATGATTTATCAGCTCCACTCTACCTCGTGGGCCGAGGACCCCAGACCCACCTCGTGTCGGAGTGTAACAGACCACAACAGTAGTTGTTAGAGGCGCCAGTGCTATACCCTGGGACAGGCCTTGGAGTTATGGTCCACAGTGTGGTTGTATGTGTTTGTTAATAATTACCCCATGTTGGGTGGTGGACCCATATCAGTGTTTGTATCAGTATAGTGTATTGGGAGTAAGGACAAGGAACTGGTCCTGCGATGTAATGTAAGGTGACACCAGTTATTGTGTGCACGGTAAGAGTGTAATATCTGAGTAATTGCTGTTGAGTAAATAAGAAAATAAGTAATTAAGGAATACAGAGTCTGCAATAGGCCCAGGAGTTGAGCCTGGTAGTTATATGTTAATAACATCTTTTCCCCTTTGATTTTATATTAATAAACTTGTTCTTTGAGAATTTTTGGAGTATTCATTTCTCCCACAGTAGTTACCTTTATTTCCGTCCAAGTGACCCTGAAATCAGAATTACACTACCCATGTGCCTAGACCATCGACATGCTACCAAGAAGAACTGTGGTTAGGTAGTACCAAAAATGAACTGAAGTGAGTAGAAGGAACATTTGAAAGGACTAAGACAGGTTGTGGTTTCACCCTTCTTTCCCCTTATCGATCTGGTCAATGAAAAGCCTAACCCAATGCCTAGTCCACTCTCCACGCTACCTAACGAGCTACATGCTGTCCAGAGGGGGTCTGGTGGCAGCGACCCTTAGAAATTAAGATTAGATTTAAGTATTCCCCCTTAGGATTAGTGACCCCAGTCTGGCAGTATAGTAATTACTACATTGAATCGGGGGTGCTTGTGGACATTCTTGCTGTTTATCCCAAATTTAGTAGCCCACACTGATTAGTCTTCAATTAGAACATGACGTCCAATGCAGCGAACAGTGGCATCACCCACATGACTCTGACCTATATATACTGCTAATGAATATGATGCATTCACTCGAGAACTGAACCTCGGCGAGGTAAGATCTTTCTGCTCCCGAGGTACTACGTGAACCAGACAATGTTCACCTGTAACCAGGCGAAGGTCGTTAGACTGTATCCAGTCAAACGCCCTTCGCCCAAGCAACTAAACCTCCTTGTCCTGAGGAAGTTTTTTGACTCCTCAGTACTCACGGGGGTAACAAGGGTCGTCCGCAGAGACAGTGGTGGCCTTATCGTCACCTTCGCGGAATGGGGAGAGGCCCAGCAACTATCCAACCTAAGAGAAATCAACGGGATCCAGATCCTAGTTGAAGCCTGCATAGAGGACAACTTGGTTTTGGGAGTCATCTCCCACACCGAAATTGAACATCTAGAAAAAGAAGAACTGGCCGAGCTGATCGGAGATCAGCTCTCAATAGTACGGAAGCTGACCAGTGCAACTGCACTGGTTGGCTACCCCAAGAAACTACCAAGCACCGTTTTGCTGGGATGGGAGAAGATCCCAGTAAGACCGTATGAAAGAAGACTAACAAGATGCTACAAATGCCAGAGGTACGGCCATCTGGTGCGGAAGTGTCGTGCTCGGGAGGTCTATTCCAGTTGCGGGACACCCGGGCACCAGGACACCAACTGCTCGGCGGCCGCCAAGAAATGCGCAGCTTGTGGTGGCCCTCACTCCTCCTCCGACCGGGAGTGTCCCAAGTGGAGGGAGGAGTGTAGGGTGGCTAAGCTGCGAAATAAGGAAAAACTGAGCTACAAGGAGGCTCTCCTTGTAGTGAAAACTGAAGTAAAGACGAATCAAGACCCGAACAAGACCACAACAAATAAAAATCAAGACCCCAAGAAGACCACGTACGAGAATATTCCAGAACAAGACCAAGAAGAAGAATGGAAATTGAAAAGTAAAAGAAAAAACAACAAAAGGAAGAAGTCCAAAGAAAATAACTCTACAAACAAACAGCTACGGCCGAAATAGCCTAACGGCGAAGTGGCCAGTAATCCCCAATACAATTACAATGATGCATTTCTTCGTGTATGAACCTCTGTCCTGCATGGCAGTGAACTATGATATCACCCACATGAATCTGATCTATATATATATATATATATATATATATATATATATATATATATATATATATATATATATATATATATATATATATATATATATATACACACACTGTTAATGAATATGGTGTATTTCTTTGTGTACGAACCTCTGTCCTGCGTGGCAGTGAGAAGTGATACCACCCTTACAATAGGCAAACTGTACTCCAAGCTTTGTCAATAAATTTGTTAAACCAAAAAAAAAAAATTGCTCTATGACCTCCTCCTACAGGTCCCCATCCATTACCAACACCTCTTCCCTCCCTGACCAGATACATCCTCCTAGTGACAGGCTTGACATTATGAGGGACCTGCCACGCTTTGTCATAAACAGATGCAATGTACCGGGAATTTTCCTCCCACACACTCATCATTCTGTCACTTTATGTAACTTGCTGACAAAACCCATGACACTTCAGGCCTTTACGCCCTTAATGCATGAATCATAAAGGCAAGCATGAACGAAGCATGCTTCCCTTTTGGGCGCTGTAAACGCTTCTGCGCTTCACCTTGCACAGGATGCAAGGGGGTGCCCAATAAACTAGCCCCCTCGGGGGCAATCTATGATCAACTTAATTAATATTAACTAACGGTGCATTTGTGTTGGCAATATTTTACCGTGTATATATTTGTGAGATAATTCCAAACACAAACACCATTACTGATATTTAGATTTAGACGAAAGAAAATATCTCGAAATGCCCAACGATGAACATACAAACAGCATCCCTATACACCCTAGAGTGAGGGTTAGTGGGCCAGCGCCCTCTCACCACCTTATCAAGTGGGGGTATAATAAAATGCCACTCGAGCATCCTGGACTGACTGCCACCACAGCCACAACTACGCCCTGCCCTGGCCCCACTAGTGTTGCTGTATCCTTGTGCTCGTCCACACGTCTCTGTTCCTCTTTCATTATTCACCGTGAAGAATAAAACTTATGCTACTCACACGTTGCATAACTGCATAATGAGAGTGTATGGGATAATTTAAATCGTAGATATTTTGTGTTTTCTGAGTAATTATAATAGACATGTACTCCCAGCATCACAGCTGAAAGGACATCCGACTTAATATCCATCTCAGAATCTTGTCACAGTGGTCGCGAACTCTGATGAACAAATAACTATAACTTTTAGTTTTGTGATAATAGAAAACTGAATAGCAACAGAAAGACACCAACCGGTCATGAAAATCGAGGTGATATTTCAGATTCTCGTGCATGGCGCTTGTTTATATGTTAGGAACGAGGCTACGCATAAAGTGAATCGCAATAATGGTTATATTATTATTAACCAAAATCACCTACAAAAATGCAAATCCTACACTGACATTTTGAGACTAATGGAAGATACACATAGAGATCTTTACAACCTTCACACAAACTCCACCAACAACGACATGAAAACAAACATAGCCAGAAATCACCGTCGTTTAAATAACAGAGCCGCGCAATGGATTAGGAAGTTTCAAAGTCAACTTCTACGGATAGAGAAACTCTGTAACTTAACTGAGCCGCTGGACCATATCTTAGAAAAACAACATAACGTCATGAACCCCAGTAGCACCCGTTCACAGTTAACAAGGAAGTACTTCCCTTGCGTGAGGGCTAGCAACACGTTGGGTAATTTTCACAAGCGGAACTACAAGATGCGGGTGAGTGTGTTGGCCTCAGAGCTTTTAAGGGTGGTATCCAGAAGCCGAGGAGCAACTGTACCTGAAGGAGAAACCAAGACGTTGTTACTGAAGGTGCTTCGTCTTAAACAACAGAAACCTAGTACGCTACACCTTCAGGATACAGGTGAAATTTGGCAAAATTATGGAATATTTTCACTGTATACATTAGGATAGGTTCATATATGTTTGGTTAGGGTTAGATATGTTTGACAGGTTAGGTTAATTTGGGGTTAGGTTAAGTGTTTGGGTTGGGTTTAAGTCTGATTAGATTGGTTAGTTTAAATGTTGAGGTTGTGGTTTTGGATAGGTTAGGTTAGAATAAGTTTAATTTAGGTTGAGTGTCTGGGTTAAGGTTAGGTTAAGTGCTTAGGTTAGATCAGGTTAAATGTTTAAGTTAGGTTAAGTTTGTGTTAGGTAAAATGTTCAGGTTAGGTTAAGTTTGTGTTAGGTTAAGTGTTTAGGTTAGGTTAGATTACTTTAACTTGGGGTTAAATTAGGTTAAGTGTTTGGTTCAGGCTAAGTTAAGTATTTAGGTTAGAGAAGGCTAAAGTTGAATTAGGTTAGTTTAGTTTTTTTAAGTTAGCTTAGGCTCTGTTCAGACTAGTATGTGTTTGGGTTAGGTTAAGTTAAGAGTGGGTTAGGTTACTTTAAAATGTTAGCGTTAGGTTAAGTTTGATTGAGTTAGGTAAAGTGTTTTAAGTTAGGTTAAGTTAACCGTTTGAATTGGGTTAGGTTAGGTTTGATCGAGTTAGGTTAAGTGTTTAAGTTAGTTTAAGCTAAGCGTTTGGATTAGTTTAAGTTAAGTTTGGGTTCTATTTTTTAACAGTATTTAAGTTAGTCTTTATAGGCGAGTGAAAATCAACGTCTCCACACACAGCACGGGATCTGTGAGTACAGTACAGTATAGTGTTCTCGTAGTCTATTAAAAATACTGTATGTTTGATATATTTCTTCTCATCCGGATAGGCGCGTGGAACAGGGTGAGCAGTGTGAAGATGAGGAGCGTGGTAGAGGTAGGAGTGAAGGAGGTCGTTAGGGAAGTGCCACCCACTTTCCTGAGTGTGGCGCTGGGTCCGCGTCTCATACAACACAACTGGTTCAACTTCAACCTAAGGTGACTGACTCTGTCTTGTTTATTTCTTTATTTAAATCGTTGGTATTTCGTGACTACTGTATTTCAATAGGCCAGTGTTGTTACTATACATCTTTTAGCTTTAGCTTTCTTGTGCCTCTTAAACTTACTCAGATTGGTGAATTGTTACTAAAATTGCGGCCGACAAGTACACTGTCAGGTCATGTGGCATAGCTAACCTAACTTGCCCTCTGGCTGCAGCTCTCCCCTGGTGTTGACCCTGACTCGCGCCCTCGCCCCCGCTATCCTAAGGATGGGAGGGTCAGCAGCCAATTTCCTGACCTACGACCCCACATTGCAGGACTTTTCCCCGCATAGAAGAGACAACAGCGTCTCTTCTTTCTCACGTGACGACTTGGGGCCCGTGCAAGCCCCTCAACGTCCCCCTCCCGCGGCCATCGCACCCCAGAATGTGGAACTAGTCAGGGAGGTGACTGGTGGAGGCGTAAGTGTAGAATCAAGTCTCCATACCACAACACAGAGAGCCCCACAACCTGACCACACTTCCCAAAACAATACACATGACACCAAACACAGTGACCGCATTCTTCCCACACATCACACCCACCATTCGAGCAGTACTCCCCACACACGTCTCTCTAACCTCAGTCACAGAACCCGTCACGAAAACTTCACACACAAGGAAATTAACTCACTTTCCACAGACGACAGACACAGTGAGAATAAGGGCAGGGGTAATCTGTTCCCCACAGACTTCAACAGCCACAGTAACAGCCCGAGCAATCAGTCAAACCAGGACCCCATCACCAGCCAGCCAAGACGTTATCCACGTGACGTTGCTGAATGTTCTTGTAAGACTGACTACGGCACACCAACGTTCACCAACTTCACAATGAGTGGTAAGAGATAAGGGTTGGCCTTTGTTGATACTGATTTAGTGAGTTGTATAAGCTGATAGTCGTTTGCTTATACTGTATAGAAGATGTACCATATCAGCTGAAAGTCTTGTTTATACATGATGTTTGTAGTTTTGTTTCAGAGTTTTTTATTTATATTGATGGCATTACTGGTGTTGCACCAGTCTTTTGTTTACACTGGCGACGTCTTATTCTGTTGTATCAGCTGACAATCGTCAAGCCGAAGGACGAACAGAAATGTTCTTGTATAAATTCATTATAATTATATAGAAAGAAAGGTTCACGTGGGCAAGAATCGATTCTGGAACCGGTTCCAACGGTTCCGACAAGCTACCTCGGAACCGATTACCGAAATTTGGAATCTGTTACTCTGAAGCGATTCCTGGCAAGAGTAGAATTATTTCACGTGTCTACAACAACTGCGATACGAAGGAAAAACCGGCAGTGTCCGATTGAGTGACTCCCTCCCTTCCCTGGTGCGCCACTAGTCTGCGTGTTAGGTTACGATCTCAACTTCTCATACACATTATTGTTTATGTTATATACTGATTTAACCGGAGAACTGCAGACTCGTAGTCTTTCCTTATTATCTAGTTTTATCTACTAAGATATTGGTCACATACTGCGTTTATTTTGATGATTTTTTATTGTACTTTTCACTTTTTTTTTACTTACAACATTCATATAATTTTTTCAGGATTTGTCATCTCAGTGGTTATATTATGGCAACCAAAAGTAGTAACAAAAATTCATGCAGATAGGTATGCCTGACACTGTTACAGGTCAGCTTTGTAAACATGATGAATCATTTACATACCAAGCATCAAGCTGCATACTGTATGCAAAGCTCAAAGACGGTGTACAAGAAACAGCTTTGAAATCTAGCAAGAAAGTTACAACACTGCAACCTACTTTGTTCGAGACTATCAACTTAAATTTGCCTACAGAGATGATTCTACCAAGAAGGAACTGGATCTGGGCAATGTCTGAACAATGAGGAACTGGATTTGATAAAAAGCATCATTTCTGTACTTGAGCCATTTGAGTCTACGAGATATCCCCTGAGAAGTTCACCTCTCATAGATTAATCCCTATAGTCAGATGTTTACAAGATTGCACGAACTCCAACGAGGACAAGGATATTCAACAGATGTATCGGACATTTTCTCTCGGCAAAGAGCTTCAAAAACAAATGATAAAGAGGTACTCTAGCACAAGTAAAGAAATCACTGAACTAATTTTGATGCAAGGATCGAGAAAATTGCTCAGGTGCTAATAACCATCTACTGGCCCTCACATTGAGTTATGCAGATATATTTAAGAAGTACCTATTACCAGGGAAGCAGGCCTACTAGCCTGGTGGAGACTTGCTACACTCTTCCCAAAACTGGAGGACCTAGCTAGAAAGTTCCTGTGCACACCAGCAGTCAAGCACAAAACTGTACCTGGATAGTGGATATAATTATTTTCTGGTAGTTTACTTTTGATTTTAAATGGCTTAGAAGTGTCTTAGTTACGTCCATTTTGTGTGTTTTAGTTCACTGTTTTACGCTTTTTTGTTGACATGTCGATATATAGTATTATAATGGTAATTTTATTTAAATGTGTGAATATGAATGATATTGTATTTTTCTTATTGTAAATGATAAATACCCAATACTTCATCAAAATTCTGAACTAAAGTAATTAATAATCAGTAACCAATCAGAAGTCTGAGTTACTTATGGTTACTCGAAGAACCGGTTCCAACTGTTCCGCCAACCCTGAGTATTCAAAAGAGCAGTTCTTGCCCAACCCTTCACGAGTGTTAGTTCAATGCAACATTCCCTGTTGATTTAGACCTGAAAATTAACCTTGTGTTGACAGGTACAGACTGGAGGAAGCTGACGGACTTCGCCGAGACTGTGGGGATGAGGTTACTGTTTGACCTGAATCAGTTCTACCGGGACGAAGATGGTGGGTGGAATCCTTCTAACGCCAGGCTGCTGATGCGAGACGCGGCCGCTAGAGGCGCTCACATTCTGTGGCAACTGGGGAATGGTAACTACTGTAGAGATAGATAGATATTTGGATACAGATAAAATATATAGATATTTATTCAGTAATATGGCCATACAAGTCTAAATTGAATTAACATATATAGAGATAATGCAGGTTTACAATAAAGCCACTTTGTTGAGAAACACATACAAGTGTAAAGTTAATGATGCGGACTATGAAATTATTTCTTTTCTTTTCTGCTTTTATAATTATGTGCTGTATTATGTTTTTTGTTTTAATAATTGAAGTAACAATACCAATAATAATACAATTAAGTAATAAATAATAATAATAAATGTATGAAGTAAGGTTAGGTTACAATGAGTAACCTAACCAAACCCAACTTCGTTTACACCCACAACCAGAACCCAACGCCTACAAACACAAGTTCGGGTTCAGCATCACAGGACAAAGGTCGGCCCAGGACTACGATCAACTACAGGACGAGTTGAGCCACTACTTTCTCCCCGCCCACTCTGTCCCTATAGTAGGTCCTGACGTCACCAGGCCCAAGAGACGCGGCTACACCGACAAACTTAGTGATGGTTGGTGTACATTGGCTCGTAGAGATGTATTTTGGAGTATTTTTAGCGAGTTATTTTCCCCGTGATGTTTGTGTACAGATTCAGGAGTAAACTGTGGGTGGTGTGTGTTATTGTGTTACGGTAACCTAACCATCTGTCTTCCAGGCCTGAGAACATTCTCCGTGGACTTCCTGAGAGAGTTCCTGAGCAACACGAGGACCAACTTGACAGCTGTGACGTGGCATCAGTGAGTTTATGGTTCACAGCCCTCAAAAATAAATAAATAAATAAATAAATAAAAGGTACATCTCCCTTTCTAACACTTTCACCTTCATCCGTCGCCTCCAGGTACTACATGGACGGCAGGACAGCAGGTGTGAAGGACTTCCTCTCCCCTGATGTCCTGGACCAGCTGGTGTGGCAGGTAGCCCAGATGGTGACTGTCAAGAACCAGCTGGCGCTCGGTGCTCCTCTCTGGCTGAGTAAGAATCTTACAGATGGTGTCCTACATGTTATGTCCTACAGGTGATGTCCTGCAGGTGGTGTCCTACAGGTGGTATCCTACATGTTATGTCCTACAGGTGTTGTCCTTCAGGTGATGTCCCACAGGTGGTATCCTACATGTTATGTCCTACAGGTGATGTCCTGCAGGTGGTGTCCCACAGGTCTTGTCCTCCCAGGTACAGGTGTCCTACATGTTATGTCCTACAGGTGATGTCCTGCAGGTGGTGTCCTACAGGTGGTATCCTACATGTTATGTCCTACAGGTGTTGTCCTTCAGGTGATGTCATAAAATGTCCTACAATTCTTAGCATCTTGACCTGTCTTGACAGCTGGGACGGGATCAAGGGGGTCAATTGAGTAACTTCATTCTCTAAAATCCAAAAATACCTGACATCTTGACCTTCAGATTCAAATTTAGCCCCACGGAGCGCGGGGGCTAGTTTATTGAACAACCCCTTTGATCCTTTGTGAAATGAAGCTCATAAACTTTACAGCACCCAATTGGAGAGCATGGGGAGTTCATGATTGCCTTCTTAAACTTAGATGACCTCTCTTGACAGCTGACATGGGGTCAAGGAGGTATCAAATAGTTAATCTAAGCACTTTAGGCCAAAATTCAAGCATTCTTATTAATAAAAATCCGACAAATCCTAATCTGAATTCTCCTGACAGCTGAAACGGGATCAGCATGGGGCGGCGGTGCTAGTGGCCTCAGCAACGCTTACGTGGCCGGGTTCATGTGGCTGGATAAGCTCGGGGTGGCGGCCAGAGGAGGAGTTGATCTGGTGGCCAGACAGACGCTTTATGAAGGATGTTACGCTATGATTGATAATAACTTGGTGCCCAATCCGGTAAGTTTAGAGGAGGCGGGATAGGATGAGATACAGGAAGATATAAAGACAAACACAGAGATAAACAGACAGACAAAGGATGAAATAAAGAGATGAGTTTAGGTGGTGGAAGGGGAGACAGGGGTACAGAGATGGAGATAAAGAAGAGTTTGGGTGGTGGAGAGGGAGACAGGGGTACAGAGATGGAGATAAAGAAGAGTTTGGGTGGTGGAGAGGGAGACAGGGGTACAGAGATGGAGATAAAGAAGAGTTTGGGTGGTGGAGAGGGAGACAGGGAGAGACAGAGGGAGTTTGGGTGGTGGAAGGGGAGACAGGGGTACAGAGATGGAGATAAAGAAGAGTTTGGGTGGTGGAGAGGGAGACAGGGGTACAGAGATGGAGATAAAGAAGAGTTTGGGTGGTGGAGAGAGGAGACAGGGGTACAGAGATGGAGATAAAGAGTTTGGGTGGTGGAGAGGGAGACAGGGGTACAGAGATGGAGATAAAGAAGAGTTTGGGTGGTGGAGAGGGAGACAGGGGTACAGAGATGGAGATAAAGAAGAATTAGGGTGGTGGAAGGGGAGACAGGGGTACAGAGATGGAGATAAAGAAGAGTTAGGGTGGTGGAGAGGGAGACAGGGGTACAGAGATGGAGATAAAGAAGAGTTTGGGTGGTGGAGAGGGAGACACAGGAAGACAGAGAGTCAGAAAGGTAAACTGAGGGGAAGATGGAAGATACATCAGTGACCCAATTGATGTGGCACCAGGCAGGAGATAGAAGCAGTCAATTCCTTGCACAGTCAATTAGTAAATCAATCAATTCCTTACAATCAATTGGTAAACCACTCAATTATTAAATTAATCAATTCCTCACAATCACCTAGTAAATCAATCAATTAGTAAACCAATCAATTATTATATCAATCAATTCCTTTTCAATCAGTCATTAAACCAATCAATCCATCATGACAACCCATTACTAAATCAATTAATCCCTTTCAGTCACAACAATAGCAAAAACTAAATCTATTGCTACGTCAGGGGCTGTAAACAAAACTCCAATAAGTTCACGTCTTTCTCTCCTGCAGGATTACTGGCTGTCGGTGCTGTACAAGAGGCTGGTAGGGGGTCGTGTCCTCAATGTGAGTCTTAGCCAAGCACCTATCACCACCCGCCTCTACGCCCACTGTCACAACAACTATAGCCACGACTATACGCCAGGTAGGTTACGTGTGGGTGTAAATGACGTGTGGGTGTGAATGGGTGTAAATGACGTGTGGGTGTGAATGGGTGTAAATGACGTGTGGGTGTGAATGGGTGTAAATGACGTGTGGCTGTGAATGGGTAGTTTACATGTAGGTTGTTTAATAATAATAATAATAATAATAATAATAATAATAATAATAATAATTAACGGTTTATTGAAAGAACATGGTCGTCCAATGGTTGAAAATATACAGTCAACAGAGATGGGAATGGGTCACCTGATTGACAAATAACATACAAGTAACATAAGTGATACAAACATGATATAACAACAAGGGCGGGATGTCATTCAACAGGAAATTTCAACATAAGAACAGTGAAAAAGTAAGATCGGCAGGGAGTGGAGACGCAAACTAGTGACGTGTGTTTTCAAATTTAGTTTATCTATAGTGGCGCCGAGGAGCTTGGTGGAGTCCACAACCTGGAGTATGTTTGGGTCCATGTAATTGAGGGAGGTGGGACGTGGTCAGAGGAGAGGTTGATGTGCAAAACCATGGTCTTGGTTGTTGGTGGCTCAATTTTGGACACTTCAAAATATTCTGGAGGGCGCTGTAGTCGGGAGCCGAGTTGTTTACACTGATCCCAATGGTGGAGTCGTCGACATATTTCCAGCGAGCGGGAGTTTCTCTCAGCGCATCATTGATAAGGATAAAACACAAAGCGGTCCCATCTTGGAGGACGCCACAGGTGAGTGGCTGAAAGGCGGAGACAGCCCCTCGGTAGCTTACGGCTTACCATCGGTCACAAAGGAAGTCTGTAAGCCATGGTATATGACTTTTCATGAACCCGAGGTCGATAGCTTTGATGATGATTAAATTGTGGTTGACTAGGTAGAATGAAGGAGACAGACACAGACGTCTTTAGTTATTCCAAATGGCGGTATATGTAGTCGAAAAAGCTGACAAGACAGTGGGTGAGAGAGGAAGTTTCATATTGCCAAATTGTTGAGGATCTATGACACTGCAATATGGTTTCGAGACAAAACGGCCCCAATTGAAAACGACCCAAACCAGAATGGCCCCACTCGAACCAAAACGGCCCCACCCTGTGACCAAAACTGAGCATGATAGCAGCCATGTTGACAGTCTGAGTTGGCTGGGTAACTAACCAGAAGTGGCAACTGTGAAATGTAAACGATGTAAACATTGGACCAAACAACCAGTTGCCACTTCTGGTCACCATTAGTGAGATGGCTAAGGAAGGGGAGGGGTTGTCTTATTGTTTAGTCCACATAGTTCCTTAAACTTACCACACCACTGACTGATGTTGGTCTGCTCCAGGTGTTGCAGCTTAGTTGGGTAGTAAGGGTGCGCTCACACCAAGGCCGGAACGGACATACTCTGACGCAAATTGTCCAAACGAGTAAGTCAAGTTAACAACACATTTCACACTAGATTCGAATCTTATAAGATTTAATCTTATGCTAGAAGGATGACAGTTTCCCTCTCCCTAGAAAGATAGCGAGTCGTGTAATCTGACGGACTCAGTCAGGGAATAAGTGGTGGTGAGCTTCCGTGGAGGTGTTGATGTAATGTGTCAATTTGGCGTCTAAGAAAGCCGAGCTGAGACATGCGTTAATGGGTAAATACGTGTGACAATTAATTATATACGACATACAGTGGATATAATGGAGATTTTGGTCATAGTTTATTTAGTATTAATCAGACATGTGTGTGTGTGTGTGTGTGTAAGTGTGATTTATAATTTATCTCATTATTTTAATCTCACAATATCGCTTTTCAATTAAACATTCACCCTAACATTCAACCTAATCCTCAACTAAGCATTAATTAGATCACTCTAAGATTAGCTTCTCCCTCGCTCCCCGCCAACCTATGTCACCTGATGTTTTTATACTCTAACGCTTCCGGGGGGATAGGTTAGGTAAGCGTCAGGGTGTTAAATCTTTAGATGAAAAAAGCTTGGAGTTAGTTTAGGTGAAGCTAAGTTAGCTAATTGCGGTGAAATAAGCTGGGGGTTAGGTTAGCCTTAGGGTGTTTAATTTTAAGGTATCAAACTGGGTGCTGATGTTCATGTGATTTAATTTATCATTTAATCCCTCTCAAAGACTTTACCTTAGATTTGACATACATCCCTACAATCCCACACCCTGGCTCACCCTGCTTTACCCTCCCTCACACTGCCTCATCATCCTTAACCAACACTCACCCTCCTGTATCGTCCGTCACGCTTATTTACCCTCAGTCACCCTCCTTCGCCCTCCGTCATCTTCACTACCTCATTCTCTTTCACCCTTCGTCACCCTGCTCTCGGTGTTGCAGGTGGCGTGGTGATATACGGAATGAACCTTGCTAACGAATCTTCGCAGGTGGCCCTCACACACCACCTGGCTCACTCCCCTATACTCCAGTACCTCCTGCTTCCTTCAGATGGGGTCCTACAGTCCAGGTAAGTCCTCTTCTTGACCCAGTAGGTGATCGTTTTGTGTCTCCAGTTAGTGGCATGGCGTCGGTGGATCTGCCTTTAGTGCTAAATACTGTATATGTTTTCTGGCTGATTCCACAACAGTCCCATAGCTGGTTCTGCCATACAGCAGCACATTATAGGTCTCCAGTACGGTCATTATATTTTCGATGAAGCTTGCCGGAACTTCAGAGACTGGAGAAGACTGGAGTGACCTCATCAAATGTCTTCTAAATATCGAAAGGAGTTTTCTTACCTCTGCCTGCGAACGAAGATACAGTGTCACATCCAATAAAGGAATGACACACGGAAAGAGCTGTTGGCTTCTCTACACCCAATGCTTTGGCAATATCATGAGCTGGAATGTATCCCGGTATCTCAGGTGCTTTCTTGTACCAAATGTTATCCAGAGTTCAGTGTTCTCAAACAACGCAGTGTTAGACACGACGAGAAAAACTCCATTTGGTCCACATTCCTCAACTTAATTCTGCGATAGCCTCTAGTATAGTTGTATTTAGTACATACAGGATCAGCCTTGTGTCGGCCTCTTCATGAATACACGGTGCTAGAGATGAGAAGATATCCTGATGACTGCGTGTGCGATGCACGTTCTGTCCACACGTTGTGTACACTTCCTTCTCCGTAGAAAAATAGTCTTGTACGTGTTGTTATAATAAAAAACAAAACACTCATAAATAGATCTTCATAATAGTCTGTGGTTATGAAATATCAATAGTGCAACAATTTACCAAACATGCAGAAAGTTTACCTGATGTACCAAAATCTCGAAGAGTTCAGTCTTGTCATCCAGTCGCAAAAACTTTTACCAGTTTTCACCGTCCAGTGTGATAACATCAACCACTGGGGCATCACCACTGGGTGTAAAGAGCCTTTCCATGCATTCTGTGAGATTAGCTTTGGAGCTAAGCCGGAGTTTCCCCAACTGAAACAAGGATGGCTAGTATACATGATTCTCGTGCTTGAAGATATATTCCAAGTCTCCGATCTCGTGTTTAACATGCAATGTGAAGTCTTGAAAATAGTACCGTCTGGGTTACAATAAATGGAACCCTCAACGGTGGTCGACTGAACAAAGGCATGTTGGTTTTCTTGA